ATATAAAATAATAAAAATAATATAAAAATAATATAAATTATACAAAATAATATAAATAATATAAAATAATAAAATCAATATAAAATACTATAAATAATATAAAATACTATAAATAATATTAAATACTATAAATAATATAAAATAATAAAATTAATATAAAATACAAAATAATATAAATGATATTAAATAATGTAAATAATATTAAATAATAAAAATAACATAAAATTATATAAATAATATAAAATAACATAAATAAACCCAACTCCCAAGGTTTTCCAAAAGCCAACGCCCGCAGAAATTGCTCCCCCTCTGCTCTTGGGGAGGGAGGGGCAGCCCTGGCACGGCCGAGCCCGGGGCAGAGCAGCCCCTGTCACAGCCCAGGGGACTCGGCTTTGCCGTCAGAGCCGGCAGGAATCGCTCCTGGAGGCCGGAGCCGATCCCGGCGCTCCCGGGAAGCGCCTCCCGGCCGGAGCCGATCGATGCAAACCGGGTCAGGGCTCGGCCGCCCCTCGCAAATCACATCCCGAGCCGGGAGGGTCCCAGCGCCTGCCCCCCCTCCCGACGGGAAGCGGCACCAAAAATCTTTCCTAAATAAATCAGCCTTTATTGTAAAACTCGGCCCCCGACGAGACAGAACCTCGTTAGCATCGATTTTGAGATAAATTATTGGAAGTGGCTCTTGCCTGCTCTTTGCATTTGTAAAGGAGAAGGGAAGCGCAGCCCTGACAGCCCTGGGCTCCCAGCACCATTCCCGCGTCCCAAATCCTTCTGCCAGGATTCCTTCAGCCCTTAACTCGGTGGCATAACCCCAAATTCCATCTTGGCACGGAAACCAGGCTCCTGTGCCAGGAAAACCCCCCAAAACTGGGGCAGCACCACCCGCCCCACTGCTGTGGGTGACGCTTCCCCAGGGACATCCTCACATCCCTGCCTGCATCCTGCCGGCACTGCTTCCCTCCCTGAGCCGGGCTGTCCTCGGGAAACCTCTTCCCAGAGCCCTTCTCCCACCTCCTGGCACGCACACGGGCTCCTTGGGACACATGGGATCCTTGGGACACACGGGATCCTTGGGACACACGGGCTCCTTGGGACACACGGGATCCCTGGGACACACGGGATCCTTGGGACACACGGGATCCTTGGGATACACGGGATCCTTGGGACACATGGGCTCCTTGGGATACACGGGATCCTTGGGACACACGGGATCCCTGGGACACAGGGAACCTTGGGACACACGGGCTCCTTGGGACACACGGGATCCTTGGGATACATGGGATCCCTGGGACACACGGGATCCTTGGGACACACGGGCTCCTTGGGACACACGGGATCCTTGGGACACAGGGAACCTTGGGACACACGGGATCCCTGGGACACAGGGAACCTTGGGACACACGGGATCCTTGGGACACATGGGCTCCTTGGGACACACGGGCTCCTTGGGACACACGGGATCCCTGGGACACACGGGCTCCTTGGGACACACGGGATCCTTGGGACACACGGGATCCCTGGGACACACAGGATCCCTGGGACACACGGGATCCTTGGGACACACGGGCTCCTTGGGACACACGGGCTCCTTGGGACACATGGGATCCTTGGGAAGCGTCGGCAGGAAAACACACACGTGGCCCGGGGGAAGCGCCGCCGTGTCCCTCGTTCCAAGGGGAGCAGGGCTGTGGGAACCCTGGCACTGCCAGCTCCTGCCCGGACACGGAGCTGGGCAGCCACGGGAGCCACAGGGATCCTGGGGAGATTTATCCACCCTGCTCCCTTCCCCTTTTCTGGGAGCTCCCTCCCGGGATGGGCTCCCTTGCTGGAACAGCTCATGGATGAGCTCAGGCTGGGGGGGTCCCACCATCCTCACTCCCCAGGAACCAGGCAGGGATTGGGAAGATTTTTCCAAGCAGCCCTTCCTCCCTCTCCCACCTCGGGCCATTCTTCCCCGTATTTTATGGAATGGGGGGTGTTCCACCAGGAGTCCAAGGCAGGGCCCCCCCTCCCTGTGTCCATCACCCATCCAAGGCTTGGACAAGGAGCTCATTCCTTGGACAAGGAGCTCATTCCTTGTGCCCCAGCTTCCCTTTCCTTCCCTGCTGATCCCTCACTCTGTGCCTCTTCCCAAAGGTGCTCGGAGGGAATCCCAGGTGATTCCCACAGAGTGGGACAGACACTTGGGATGGCACCACCAGGCTCATCCCTGCCTGCTCCACCCCTTGTCCCGCTCCACGCCGGCCCCAGGCACATTCCCAGGCACATTCCTGGTGGATTCTGAGCTATGAAATCCAGGAATGGGATCCATGCCTCACCCCTCCTGAGCCCTACTGTATCCAGGTGCTTTCCTGGAGTCAAGTCTGAAAGTGCTGCTCTGCCTTCCCACGACCCCGCCGTGTGATCCCAGCCAATATTTGGATTTCCCAGGGATGAATCAAAGGGAAATGCTGGAAAACCCAGCCCAGGGGGCTGTGCTGCCTCTCCCCGTGTGGAACATCCCAACCTTGGCCACCCCACCTGTGGGAAAACGCCTTTAACACCCCTTGGGCACCCGCTCTGGGGTCTGGAGCCCCCCTGGCACAGCCAGGATCCCTCAGGCCCTGCATCCCAACACCGTGGATCCCACATCCCGGAGCTGCCCGGGCACATCCTCAGAGGAGCTGTGTTTTAATGTAGCAATTTGATTCAATTTTCCACTCTATAAAATTACCCATCACTGCTCGTTGCTTCCTAACAGACACCTTCACTCTTAATTTAACAATCCTATCGAATTCTGCCAGGGAAATTGGAAAAATTTATCACCTGTGAAATTTTATTTTTCCTTGGTTGTGTCTGTTTTTGTAAAACTTCATTAACGACGATGACTTGCTGAGGAAATTATCCCTTCATCTCCCTCCTCTTCTCTTTTCCTCCCCCCCCCCTCCTTCTCCTTCTTTCTTTCTCAGTTTTCACTTGGGACACGAGGGAGGGAGAAGCTCCAGCTGGGATGGGGATTTTCCCTGTGCTCACTGCGGGGTCCCAGGGGTGGGAAGGGATGGGCTTGGGAAAGAAGAGACTTTTCCTGAGCCCTGCCACTGGTTTGTCACCTCTGCAGGGACGTGACACCACCTCTGGGCACACTCCCTGGGAATTGGGGTGTGTGGAGGGGGTGAGAGACTGAGCACCTTCAAGGTGCCAAGGCACCCAGGAATGCTGGAAAGCCGGGAATGCTGGAAACCCTCAGCCAAGGCAGCCAGGAATGATGGAAAGCCAGGAATGCTGGAAACCCTCAGCCAAGGTAGCCAGGAATGGTGGAAAACCTCAATCAAGGCAACCAGGAATGCTGGGAAGCCAGGAATGCTGGAAAGCCTTGGCCAAGGCAGCCAGGAATGCTGGAAAACCTCAATCAAGGAAGCCAGGAATGGTGGAAACCCTTGGCCAAGGCAATCAGGAATGCTGGAAAGCCAGGAATGCTAGAAACCCTCAGCCAAGGCAGCCAGGAATGCTGGAAAACCTCAGCCAAGGCAGCCAGGAATGCTGGAAAACCTCAGCAAAGGCAGCAAGGAATGCTGGAAGCCCAAGCTTCCAGCCTGGTGCTGGAAGCACCCCCAAACACCATCCTGGGAGCACCCCAAGGCTCCTGCTGAGCCCAGGGACTGCTGAGGGTGCTCCTGAGGGAAGGGGGGCCCAAAGAGCTGAGGATGAGAGGAGAGGAAGGGAAGAGGAAGGGAAGAGGAAGGGAAGAGGAAGGGAAGAGGAAGGGAAGAGGAAGGGAAGAGGAAGGGAAGGAAGGGAAGGTGAGGAAGGGAAGGGGAGGAAGGGAAGGGGAGGAAGGGAAGATGGACACAGGCTGAGGGTGTGTCCTGGAGCTCCAGCTCTGCTCCCAGCACTGGCTGGATGCCACAAGCCATTGCTTCCCCCTTGGCAGCAATTCCAAGGTGAAGGTC